TGACAAGATAGAGCAAAGGCAACACCTGATGAACCCAGCACAAAACAGAATTCAGCAATTCTGCCATGTTCCCTGTTGATCAGTGTTTTTCTAAGTAGCAGGAGAGTCTGAGCTCAGTTCCTTTTTCTCTTGTCTGAAATCTGACTGATCATTGAAAACAGCTCAGTAACAACTGCAAAAAGATTAAAGAACAATGACTGAAGAGTGTGTTTGGGACATACTGCATTTTACAGTTCAGGGTGAGGATTAGCATTTATAGGCCCTTTTGAGATAGACTGGGGCTTGTAAGGAGTGTAAAGGTTTGAGACTAATAAGAACAAGGGAAAGACCATATTGGTACACCTGACCCATCTACAGGTGCGGGTGCTTATAGGGAAAGCAGCACAGGGCCTGTCACTGTTACTGTCATAGTTCCGAGGACCCTGAAGTGAAGGAGACCAAAAAAAAAAAAAAAAAAAAAAAAAAAAAAAAAAAAGGCCCCAGTTCAAAGACTATTGGCCCAGTGCTGACTTTGACACTGTAGGGAGTCCAGAGAATGGCTACGGAGTTTAAGGAAAGAATAAAATCAATTGCAATGGATGAGCTGCAGTGGATTCTTTTAAAAATTAAAGTAAAAAATAAGGATGTCATCACCTTGTCCCACTCTCTAATTATTCCTGTGTCTTGATTTAGACTGTGACTTTAGATAAAACACTTTGCATTTTCTGGGTCCCAGATTCCTCATCTGTACAAAGAAGAGGTTGGTTTAGATCAATGTCATAGTTCAGGCTGTTAGAATACCATAGATTGGGTGACTTAAACAACAAACATTTATTTCTCATGGTTCTGGAGGCTGGAAGTGCAAGATCAGGGTGCCAACATGGGGTTCTCGTTGAGGGCCCTCTTCCTGGCCCTGGAAAGCTACCTTCTTGCCATACCCTCACACGGTAGAGAGAGAGGGCTCTAGTCTCTCTCTTCATCCCCTCAAAAAGCACCAATCCCATCATGGCACTCTATGCTCTGACCTCATCTAAGCCTAATTACCTCCCGAATGCCCAGCCTCCAACATACGGATTTGGGGGGACATAAACACTCAGTCCCTAGCAATTACTTCTGGGTCCCTGCTCTCTGATATTGTATATGAAGATACATATACAATACTACCCACCAAATCAAAGTCAACTTATCTGCCCAGCTTTCAAGATCTTCCATAATGGGGTGCCATCCAAGGTATCAGATTTGCTTGTCAGCTTCCTCCTGGATGAACCCTCACCTCCCTTTAGAGCAGTCTCTGGCGTGTCCTCTCTGCAAGTTCTATTAATCCATTACCACTTTTTTCCCCCACATTCATCCTCTTCTCTTGGAGTGCACTCAGCTCTCTCCATTGCCTCAAGAACTAGCCATTTTGGGGGAGTCATTCTTCCAGTCCTCAGACCATATTGCAGGGAATGATAATATTAATACAAAGTTTTCCTCCTGTGTAGTACAGAGGAGGTTTTAGGATTAACACAGAGAGGATTTTAAAAGGGAAGCTACTGGGGTGCTTGGGTGGATGAATCAATTAAGTATCTGACTTCAGCTCAGGTCTCTGTCTCTGCCTCTCAAAAATAAATAAACATAAAAAAAAATCTTTTAAAGGGAAGTTGTTGTTGTTCTGTATTATTTTAGTTCAGGTAAATGCAGTTCTAAGAACTTGAAATGAAATTAAAATGTACAAATCTTGTCCCAGAGCTGCCATCATTAATCACAAAATTAAAGATGAACAGTATAGGAAAAGACAAAGGACATCAATTTAAGGTAAAGGACAGCTGAATATATATAGGATCACACTTTATATCTTTACAAATACCAAGTGAATTCTCTGATACTTGTGATAATATAAGAAGGCCACAGTATTAAGGATTTGCCATTCATTGTAACATTTTGCTGAAAACCGTTTGTATGCCTCCACACTAGGATTCAGTATTAAATATTTAATCAAAAAAGATTCCGGCTTGGATTTTTTTTCCCTAGGACTTGATCCATGGTAATCTTTGAAAAGTTTTGAAGCTGAAGGCAATAAAAGACATTCTTCTGATCGTTGTCCATGGTAAGTCATTACTGTTCTTAGGAACACAGCACACAACGCAATTTGAAGAAACATCTGTAATGGTTATCTGAAATTATATCATAAGAACAATACTATTCTGAAAACAAAAAGAGCTTTTTAGGAACCTTTATTACTGCTCCATGGGAATGCCTAATAATGTGTCTACTGATAATCTGGGATAAGCAGACAACTTTTAAGTGAGAAAATGGAATCTTTGGAAAAACTTTCAACATCATTAATAACGACACAATTCTGTTTTCCAACCATCCAAATGGTAGGGAAGTTCGTGTTGAAAGAGATGGAAAAAAGAAACTCCAGGAGTGGACAGCATCTCAGTTACCTGGAAGGCGGAGAGATGTGTATGCTGGACAGCTCTCTTTGCCCCTCCGTGTCCAGTCTCTACCCTTTTCAACCCTGCTTGTGCCTTGGGAGACAGACCTTGTCGGAGTGCATCAGTGGGGCTCCCTTGCCTCTGGCTTCCAGTCAGCCTCAGCCAATGGGAGACACTGGCAGATCAGCGGGCAGGACTTGTACGGATGTGCTTCCCTCTCAAAGGCCTCAGCTCTTGGTGGTGGCCTTTTCTAGAGCTGCAAGTCCCGCTAGTTTCAGGTAACTGCTCCTTTTCCTCGTTATTGCAGATTAAGGGATGGTAGTGGTCTCATGCCATTGGTGCCTCTGGAGTACTTCTCCATCTCTTCTTGGTTTTCCTTACCTTGGCCACACCTTTCAAATTACTGCTGCATTAAATCCTTTCCAACCATCACTTTTAGGTTTGCCTTCCACCTCCTGCCAGGACCCTGAAATCTAGAGAATATCTGCCAGTCTACCCAGACCCCTAACCAAGGGAGGACATCTTTCATCCTCATCTTCTCCTTCTAGAGTGAATGTCTGTTGCTCTGGCTTCTCCACAACCCATTCAACTTCTCCTAGCACAGCAGCCAGACTTTGCATTAGAGAACCGCCTGTCCCCATCTCTCAGTGCACGTGGCTTGGATGAGGCTGATCTCAGTACAACCCAGGGTTTAACATCTGATCTAAGTAAGGTCAATTAGGCTTAATCTCAGGAATCTCAGTTCCAATCTTCTGTGGGGGGCAAAGAGTCTTTATTCAGTGAGACAGGTACCTGTAAGGGACATCACAAGCCTGGAACTGTTGGGCCAAGGTCGAGGGCTTGCCTAAGTGTAAACCAATGAAGTGGGCAGGGCGCAAAAAGATGGAGAAGCAGGTCTAATATCATTATTTGGATCCCTGGATCCCACCATGCCTGAAGTTGATCCTTGGACACTGTAGTTTTCAAAAGTGGTAAAAAATAAAAAATAAAAAAAAATTTTAAAAAAGTGGTACACCACTTTTTTTCTCAACTGAGTTGAGCTTTCTGTTGCTTGCTATGGAAAGATTCCCCCACACATTTGGAGCAAGGAAAAAGTAAAGAGTGTTAGAGACTGTGACTTCTAAAACGATGTCATCCAGATTTGCAGTATTGCTTTCACTGAGAACCCCAGCCCATAAGGTTTCCAGAAGCTACCTGTGGGTTTTGTTTATCATGCCCTGGGGGCTACCAACACCTGCATTGCCCCTTTCATCCTCTGAAATCTGTGAGAGATGGGACGACACCAAATCAAACAACCCACTCTGTGTTGAATTTGTGGCTCAGACTCAGGCATGAACTGGTGCAAACAAAGAACAATGGTGGAAAACAGCCGAATGCTGTGCTCAAGTATTATTTTCAAGTGCTGTTTGACTGGACCTTCTCAGATGACACGGTTCACTGGCAGGGAGGCTGTTTATTGCAACAATCATTATTCTCATTTACCTCCTATTACAATGTGAGTCACTGGGAGGTCAGACTATTCCAAAAGCCCAGTGTTCCTGAGCACTCAAGGTCAAGTTCAAGGGACAGCAATCAGGTATAGGGATAATGGCAAAGGCTCAATCCTTTGAAATGAAGAGAAGGGTTAATTCCCAGGAGATTGTCGCAAAGTGAGTTTTACTATTTTCAACATATCATGTAACTTGGGAAAAGAAATCAGAGTGAACAGTGTTAACATGACCCCAGGTCCTTCCCACCATAGCTGTCCTCCCCAAGAACAAAGGTTAAATCTTCATTCATCCTTATACACTTCCCTCTACTCCTGCCTAGCGCCATGCCTTGCACAACATCGGTGCCCACAAATGATGGCATTTAGGGCCTGCTGACTTAAGAATACAGATAAAATATAAAATAATATGTCAAAAGAGTTGCTGGTAGTTGCTAAGGACTCCTTGTTATTATTATTGCTATTATTTGTAAATGTATCTATCTGTGTTAATAAGCAGGTTCATGAAAACACACAGAACCCTCCCCCCCCTTTTTTAAATTTTTATTTATTTTTGAGAGACAGAGCACGAGCCAGGGAGGGGCAGAGAGAAAAACGGAGACACAGAATCCGAGGCAGGCTCCAGGCTCCGAGCTGTCAGCACAGAGCCTGACGCGGGGCTCGAACTCACGAGCTGTGAGATCATGACCTGAGTTCAAGTCGGACCCCCAACTGACTGAGCCACCCAGATGCCCCCAGAAACCCCCCTTTTAAAGCAACATTTGCAACTTCCTTACCTCAGAAGGCAAAAGCTCCATTTTGAGTTTATTTTCCCCAACCTTCCTATGTGTGAGAGTCAATACCCATCCGCTCGCTTAACTCATTCATCCATTCAACAATCTGTGGCCACCTGCAATCTGCAATGTATTGGACTATATCTGGGGGAGCCAGAGCTGATGAAGACACAGCCCCCATGTATAACACAAAAGCAAACCTGGTGGAGATGGCCAAGAAACCCGAGCAGCCTGTGAATGAGGGACCCAGCGTGTGGCACGAGGTAACTGACTTCATGGCTGCAACAGGTGCTGGGGAATCGCTGGGGAAAATGACTATTACCAGGGGAGCATTTTCCTTACCTTATCTGCAAGCCAGCCCAGATGCCTGATCTCTCGGCTCCCAGCAATGCCTGTTTTCCCCAGCTGCTCTCTGACCTCAGCAATCACTTGGGTCAGCAGGTCACTAACATTGGAATGGATGGCACTGAACCAGGCCTGGGCAGTGGCTGAGTCCTTGCTCCTTAGAATCACTGTGTGCTTAGCATCTGGAGAGTGAATTTCAAGCTGCCTAGAGAAGCAAAGAGAGAAGGGTTAGAATGTTTCCTGGCAGATCATACTTTGTCAAGTCTGGGCCGCAAAAGGTGAATGAATTCTTTACTTTTACTTTTGTACTCTGTCAGTTTCACATGGTTTGTCTTAATGATCCCATCATTCATTCCTTCACTCATTTGTTCAACCACAAACATCTACTGAGTGCCCAGGCATTGTTCTAGAACCTGGGGACATCAACTGAATTAAGGCTATTTAGATTTCCTGTTATTCGGCTGACTGGCTTATCAGTAGTATCATATCAAAACTTCCAAACTATGAGCTGATGTTAATTTGGTTTACCTCTCAATCCACAGAGGATTGTAATAGTACGCTCACATCCTTGCTGCTCCTGTAGGAAGTATACTGAAATATCTAGCCACACTCTTAATCCTACTGCTCAGTATTAATTGGGAATATTGAAGAATCACAGATGACCAAACTTTGTACTCCTTAGGAATCCTGTCTGTGGCACATTTAGCTACTACTTACCCTTAGACATGTGTGTTGAAGAAGTGAATTGGCCTAGGAAGGGGTAACACTGGGCAGAGAGATGCACTAAGAGTTGTTCTATTTAAAGTCAAACAGGGAAGGAAGGAAGGAAGGAAGGAAGGAAGGAAGGAAGG